GCGACATTAAAAAACATGTTTATAACAGTACAAAGCATCGAGTTTAGTGAAATTCATACACCTGCATCATCACAAATAAACAAAAGATTCTGTTATTTTTAAGCTATAGAGAGGTGCATCTCTACTAACGACCAAATGCTCATTTGATAAAACATGGTCTCAAGGGAATTCAAAACCTCAAGAAATAATGATTACTTTCTTAGTTGTTTTCATGCATTGGCATTATTGGTGACTATATGGTATTGACATGAAATTATATTTCAAAGATGATGAAGATTTGCACTTGAATATCCCACATAAATTTGTGGATATGTTGAGCTTTAATACAAACTCCTCAACCAAGAAAAGGGGCGGCATTTTTTATTGTAGACACATACAGTAATTTGAGACAGAGGTGTCACAATGTGCAGACAGGTTTTTTTTTTGGAGCAGCTACTAACTGCTTTTCAATGGAAGGGAAAAAGCTGATTTGACTAGTCATCATTGACAGCATACAAAGTGGCACTGTATCACCTCAATAGCAACCAAATTGTGTGGCGGAAAATCAACATTATCATCACAGGGGAGTAAAAGTAACGTCAAGGCTTGTGGGAGTTGAGGACAGCTCCCAAATAAACTGTCATCACATAATCTATATTTCCATTACATATATAGTAATATCATATTATTTTGCAGCCATCCAACAAAAGGCTGTGGTCCAATCAACAGAGAAAAGCCAGCACATTTTCCAAGCGCTCCCAGCTTGAATATGCGATAGAACTGCCAACAGCACCCCCAATAAGTACAGCTTTTTTTAAAGCATTCTTCCAAGAAAACAAAGTTGTAGACCTCCGTGACACAGGTACAACTGGTAACTGATGCCTACATTAACCCTGTACACTGATGTTAACATGCATGTCTGTATAAAGGTGCAGCTGTGCGTCAGCTGCATGCAAACCATGAGCACACAGAAAGTGGAGTGCATGGTAATGCCTATAAGAGTTGTATCAGCGCACTGTAAAAAGGGTTAGGGTTACCCACTAATTTTACCTAATGCATTTGGCACTTATGTATAAATGTATTAATTGCATGCACTTGGCAATAAATCGGTTTTTGTTCTGAGATAAATTGAGTGGTTTTAGTCTACAGGAAAGAAAACGGTCGTGTGGTGGAAGTCTGCCATTTACTTTGAAAGAAAACATTGCAAAACTTGGAAAAGGCTTCTGTTCACTATCTGCAGTTCTGCTAAGGCTTATGCTTGATGTTGACGAGCAAAGATACAGTATGTACAAAACTGGCAAAAAAAAAGCATTGTTCCCTCTGCGCCCACATTGTTTTTGAACAGACTTTATTGGCACTGTTTACCAGATTCAGTGACCTGACAAGACATTGCAAGCCAATCTACATTTCTCAGCAGCAGAGAACAGAGAATGTCACCTTCAAAAAGTACTTGTGTTTTACTGTTTCATACATTACACAGGCTGATATATCAACCATTTATCAACTAAAAAAGTAATTATTGGCCTTCACACTTCAAAATTCCAAACAACTCTTTGTTGATGGTATGAAGGGAAAACGTAAATAACATTTTATGTTGTTGGACCTCAATGATGTTTCACTTCAGACCCATTTTCCTTCTTCCAGACAGCCAATTGTAGACCACAGACATGAGTAATTGGCCCAATGTGTCAGTGGAACATCTAAACCACCTCTTTGTTTACACTTCTCTGCTGTCTTTTCAGCTCCTGCAATGCAACAGCAGTGTGGTGTTCTCGGCAGTAATTGCAAGTATTGAGAGGGCCGGGTTCTCCGTGAGGCTCCTACTGTAGGTGGCTCAGAGGTGACTGCAGTCCCTGCAGTTTGAAGTGCTGTCTGCTTGAAAGGGAGGTTGACCTTGACAAGACAGAAACCTCTCTTTGCCTTGTGGGAAGCAACAGGAAGGGCAAAGGCCGCCTTTGTCTGCCCACATCGCATTACTTAGACCTCGTGGCAAATTGTCACTATGGAACACACCTCGGCCATAAAAGATATGTTGCAGGGACAGGGACAGAGGCAGAAGCGACCTCTCCAAGGGCAGACAGTCATTGCCAAATGTTCGTTTTCAGTTGATTCCAATGGTATCATAATTGATGGTCTCAAGGCCAAACAATCTCTGCTGATGGGTCTTCCTTTTTTTCTCCACAATAAATAAAAGGTGTGAATAAAAGGCCTAAAGCAGTGCCCTGGCTTTTGTTGTAAATTCCTTTAGGCGACGTCAAAAGTAGTATCTTTAAAATTGTGTATTTGTTATATGTATTTATAAAAATAACTATTTATCATTATACTCCAAATAATAAAATGAGTCAACAACTTCCATCCATCCATCTTCCCCCGCTTATCCGTGGTCGGGTCGCGGAGGTAGCAGTTCCAGCAACTTTAAACACATATTATAGATTCTTCTAAAATATCATAATCAGATCATAATCCCTTATATAATGAACAGGCCAATGTATTCCATTTCATTTAGTTATGCTTAGATGAAAATGCCATGTAAACATCACGTTCACACCTTTACTTGCAGATAATTGTTGAAGTTCTTAATACTGTATATTAGATTTGAAACTTGTGGTCAGGTGCTGCCATCACTCTTTCAAGTGATATTATGCATTGTAACACTGCCAGAATTTTGCAAGTTACAATTTGCTTCCCATAAGTGTGACTGTTAATTTGTGGTTCAATTGAAATGCACTATTGCCTGTGTGCCACAAGAACGGCTAGATTAGATCTGAGATGTGAATGTGAACTTCTTTAAAGACGATTTCAAAGAATAAATTACACAATAGATTCATATATCGAGTGTGCTCTAACTGTTTTTGTAGTGTACAGTATTGTGCAGGCACGTGACACAATTAGAGAAATATGCAGATCTGAGAACTCCTGGGGCTCTCCTGATCACTCTGTGCCAAATCGCATCTCTCTTCGCTGTAAAGTTTGCTCAAACTAATTAAGTTCTTAGGGAGGGTAATTTGCACTCCCTCTCCATAATAAAAGACTAGCGTAAGCATATTTTCAATATCCCTGAATCCCTTCTACTGCAATGTAATTCTCTCGAGCGAGGTCGGACCTCCCAACTCATTTGCTTTGGACCAGATTAACAGTAATCTCAATGCATAGCCACACCTCATTACAAAGTCATTACCTGTCCACTGTTTATTTTGTCATGAAGGGCCTAACTGGTGTAACCCCTTAAGTAAGACCCTGCATTTTCTATGTACTGTAGTATAGGCCTAATAACTGTGACAAAATACTTAGCTATCAACACTAATGAGGGTGCAATCATTCTATTGATCGTAAAATGTCAGATGAATTTGCTAAAATCATTAGCCATAAGCAAAACCAAAGTACTGACTGGTATGGTATGTTTTCCTCCCGTTTAGTAATACTAAACAGCATTTTGTCAGGACAATATTATGAAACTCGCTGTCAGCAACTTATTTCTCAAAAAACTGTTTCTTCTTTGTTGCTTTTCTTATTTGTCTCAAGCATACATAAACTGACACAACTCAGCTGTCCCTCACTGTGTTGCACCAAGTCATGTATAAACATATCAAAATATGTACACAACAAACTGACTTCAGTCCAGTGCGCTGCTGACAACTTGCTTCTAGTAGGATAACAGACAACAGCTGTAGACTCAGTTCGGGACACGTCTTTAAAAAGTTATTTCAATTTCACAGAAAGTGAGGGAAAAAAGTAGCGATCATTTTATAAATTATGTGAGTCTGACACTGGACGTGCAAGGCAACCCTCAGTTGGTTTACTCAAGGCCAGGATAGTTACCAACCTATCTGTTTATCGGTCATTTGATATTCATTTTGGCTAACACAAAACTTTCTACAGGAAAACTGTTATCAAGAGGGAGAATAAAGATGTTTTTGCAGAACATTGCACACACTTGTCAAGATTGGATAATTAAACTTGGCAAACTGAACAAACTCAAGGAGGAGAATGGCTGCAGGTGCTCCGCAGATGTATTATAAGATGTCCTTAAATAACTCACTCAGTTTCTTTAAATTATTAGAGTTATCACTTTCATTTCATTTATCCTTGCCCCCACACCACTATCTTTCTCACAGAATTGTGGTGTTCGTTTTAGCAGTCTCAGTATGACCAATGCATCAAATTGTTATATAAGCTTCTCAAACTTCTTCTGCAGAACAATCCTCTTTTCTACTTTATGGAACATTGGCACCACCCCACACTGGTCAAGAGAACTCACAGTAAGGAGTTTCGTGCATTAGACAACATGGGCCTTTGATAAAGTAAGTACCAACTTTTTTACTTGCATAGAGCAGATCCAATATAGGAAAGACTGCAATGATTTAAGAGCTGAAAGACTCAATTAATCCATTACAATTGGTAAGCTGACACAAATAAAGAAAAATGACAGGTTTCACTTCAATGATTTTCTCTATCGTCTTTCTAATGTGATAGTCAACTGAATATGTTAAGGTTTTGGGCTGTTGTTCAAACATAAAACTTTTTGAGATTTAAGAATATTATCGTTTCTCTATTTCATGGATTAAACTATTTATTTAATAGTTAAGAGAATATTCAGCTCATTAAACATAAATATCCCTTTTTACACAGCACTTTGCCCGGGGCTATGGGAGCTGTTGGCCTGGGGCTGAGGAAGATTCCATTCTGGCAAAAAACCCTACAGTGGGCCAACCCTGACTTTAGTTCAGTGTTTGCTGGCACTGCTGCGGTAAGGGGTCATCTTTGAATATGTGGGGTTATCCCCTGAACATGGATTATTCACAGGTTTAATAGTTGCCTTTGTGAAACAGGTGTAAAGTAAAACAGAAAAGGCCCACATATTTTGGGCTGGTAGGAGTGCTGTGTAAATGATATAGCCCTGGGCTTAGGTTAATGTGAGGATTATAATGATTATTTTCATTATAAATTATTCTTATTTTCTTAATTAATCACTTGTCAGAAAATGTTTAAAAATGTCTTTTAAATGTGTTTTGCAGTCCAAAAACCAAATATTCTGTTTAATATGATATAAAACAGAGAAACAGGAAATTATTTGACAGAATTTACAATGTGTTTACTAATCATTGCAGCTCTAGTATCAATGCCAATATACACTTCTGAATACCACATAGAACACAGAATCATGCCTAAATGTCCAAAATGAAAATAAAGAGCATGCACACCTAACTTGTCTCAAGTTGCATAATAACAGTTTGATATGATAACCCTTCTCAATAACTGCAGCTACCCTTCAGCACTCTACTTATAGCCAGAGAACAGTAACACCAACCACAACATCAGGCTGATCATGTGACAAGACAAACTGAACTCATGAAAACAATGTCATAAAGAGATGAATCTATAGCAGAAATGATGTTCAATAACCATCCACAAGCAGGTCAACCAAGCCAAATAAAAAAACAGCCACGATAAACATCCACTACACAAGCTTAGGATAATGCACAATAAACAAAACATCACACTGCATAGAGATAATGGAGCAAGGTCTTACTTTAGAGGAGTTTCTTCATTGACTTTGAGAGTGCAAACTGATCCATAAAATGCTCAAACTCCATCGATCACATTGGGTTGCAATCCAAAGCAGGCAATGACAGGATCAAGTCAGTCAGCTCTGGAACAATGACAGAAATGTAAAGTCAAACATTGTAAATGCAAACTTCCTGATGCAAATTAACTAAATGATGTGTCACAAAACTACAGGTCACAGGTAAATGAATATGTTTTCTATCAGGTTAGTGTCATACAGTTATTTTCGTTGGGTTGCAGGGGTTGATGAACAGCTCCAAACCAGCTTTTCTTAATTGAATAAACTGTGCAATCTACTTGCTGATTTCCTGGCTCGAACAAATTAGTTGACCAATTACCACTTTCAATGTAGCTCCCCTCCAAACTCCCACCGTCTCTGTGTGCATGGAGTAGTCAGATTCCAAGTCTTGCCAAGCCAACATTTCTTCCGCCGCCGATGACAGCCCTGATGCTGTACATTCATTTAACAGCTTTGGCAACTTTTAACCAAATGCATCTATACAAATATTTTACCAAAAGCCGATTCAGAACCTTTTTTTTGTCCACAATAGTAAAATGTTAAGTGATGCAACAATATCATCTAGAACTGTCACATATAATTACTTTCCTGCTAAAGTTAAAGCCAATGTATATCAGTGTGATAAATCCGTGAGTTTACAAAATGATAGCTTATTCCAACAGGTGAATTTGATTAACGTCAATATGTGCTTCTTCATCGAATTTCTTATCAACATTGCGCTCACTGCTGCCTTAATGTATGGCTGCCCCTTGTGGCCGGAAGGTATATTGCAGTAAATAATGGCTACGAATGTGGTACACCATGCTCACAAACAGTGGTGAAATTAACTACAATGAATAGGTAGGCCTACTGTACTCAAGTAGAACTATTTAACATACTTTATACGTTTTTCCCTTATTTGTTAGATTATACTTCTACTTCACTACATTTTATAAGGGAACATTATTTGCAAACACTTTTTACATCGTACACAAGTACATTTTTAAGAATATAAGAAACACCTCTCGATATAATTCAATCCATTACTACAAATTTCACCAACCTCGATAGTGTCATACCAAAACCTTTTATATATATAATATTTTCACATGTTTTTAATTATAGTTATACAAGGTTATTCACCACTGTACCTAATACACCTTAATTCACCTCATAATTCCAATAAGGATTGTATTGTTTCCCAATCACTAAATACAGCTCTCAAGACTTTTAAAGTGTCCCATTGGATAACACCCAGGAGATCTGTGAAAGTTGACTTAAGGTTCACAGTTGGTTTGCACAAGGTTAACAATCTGAATTCCATTTGGATGAAATTACTTGAGTTGCCTGGTTTCAGTTTATGGTTATTACGCTCAATTCCTTAGGTCCTTACAACCCTAGATCAATGTGTAATTACCCATAGTGGCACTACAACACTGATGCACCATGGAGACCAGAATATCTCATTTAGCAAAACACAGCTGTTGCTCACTTGAGTTTGGTGCATCACATGTTTTTGCAAACGATAAATTATTTTGAATTTGGCTTCTGCATTGTTTTGTTACATATAAACGTCTCATTTCCCTTGCTCGTGTCTTTTCAATATAACACCACTGACTGTGAAATACTTCAAAAGGCTGAAGTTTCAAGATCTCCTTTGAAAATAAGACTATGATGGTCCTTACCTAAGAAAGAGGTTTGCCTCATGGGGAAAGCTTTTTTAAAGTTGTTCAAAGAGATACAAAATAGAGACATCATTAGCATCTCCTTGGTATGAGCTGTGACCAAGGATACACTGCCTCTGAAACAACACTTCCTGTGACATTCCACTGTTTGATTCTCTGCAGTAACCTTGGCAATTGCCTCAATCACAGGAAATTAATTCCAGTCATGCCACTCCTTCCCCCCTTCCCCTGAGTTGTATCGGGCCTACACATCGTACTACTGGCCCTGATTCACCCTGAGTACCAGCCAAGCCCAACGATTTTCTAGTCCCCAGGCCCCTATTGGTATCTGTCTGCCTCCACTCCCGAAATGGGCCAGTCTTTTGTCTGCACACATGTGAAGCTGCAAGATTTACGCAGATTCAGTCATTTTTTTGTATTCTATACTAGCAGATAATTTCAAACTGCAAAGCTTATCTTTGCTTTACAATCTTCAGCACTTGTATTTCCACCATTACATTTACCAGATCATCAATATTAATAAAACATGTTGTAAGGCAAAAATGAAAAAAATAAAGAGCACAATGCTGGAACAAAATAATTGTCAAATGTGGGATAGAGTGTATATCTATCCTTCTATATCTATCTATGCTTTTTGCACAATCTTCAATGATTTTGATTTGATGCAACATAGCAAACACATATTGCTGCTAAATCGTCAATTTCAATTAAATGTTCCAACCTTAAAGGTTAAAACACTGAAGCGTCATAATGATGAGTTTTGTCTGATACATTTTAATTGCTCTCCATGACATTTAGGCCAGTTTAATAACAATAAGGGAAAGTTAAGACAGTTTAAAGAAACTTCTTGTAATGGGGTCACATGAGAGCTAGTTTTGTAAAGCTGTTGTTTTTTTGGAGCAGCTGTTTCTGGATAAAGGTACATTCCATCAGGCCACGGGGCCCTTTTCCAAAGAGCTTGGGCGATGATAATTGCTCTCTGTCTCAATTCAGAGTTTGGTAGGCAAACAGCAGCTGCTTACTCCCATTGTGCTGAGTAAAGGCCATACTACTAAGGCTGCCTTTTCAAAGGATCATGTAGTTGCACCATCCAGAATCAGGGCTGCTGTGATGCCAGGCAGGTAGCCTTATTTCCACTGCCTTAAGCTTTGTAATGCACAATTAATGAGCCATCTCACACGAGTGAGACAAGGACTTTTAACTACTGAGGTACTTTCAAGAGCACTCTTACTTGGAGTCTTTTGTCATGCTAGACTGGCCACCTAGAAGTTGTAGTAGTTTATAGGTTTTATATTGGGGGCTGCTGTGTAATGGCATTTTTATTGGAAGCCACAGTCAAAACTCTCACAGTACTCTGTTGGGAAGGTTTTGATGAATGATATTTGACTATGAAGGGTAGTCACCTCACAGCAAGAAGGTCATGCTTTCTTACCCACCTCCAGCAGCTAGAGCCTTTTTGTGTTTTGAGTTTCTCTCCTGCTCCCCTGCTCTCCTGCTCTTTCTGTCTGTATGGGTTTCAAACAGGCCAAAAACTGCCAGGTGTAGGTCAGGTAAAAATGTTGTGAATGTGAGTGTGTGGTTGACTGTCTGTATCGGTTAGCCATATGATATAAGGGTGACCTCTCACACTGCCACTTGCCCAGTGTGTGCTGGAATAAGCTCCATCCCTCCATGACCCTGTACAGGTGGGGTCAGAGAATAGATGGGTAAATTGATAACTGACAATAAATCAAACAATACTTTAACACAAAGGATGTAAATAAAGGTTAAAGGAACATTTTAGTACTTCAGTGTTTCTTTATACAGTACCTTGTTGGTGGCTGTTTTTTTGTTTTGTTGCAATATCATGCAAAATATATCCTGTATGGATTGGTGTCAGGAGGAAATGATGTATGCATTGTCAAGTGAAGGGATGGTGACTTGAGGGAGGTGGGGGTTGAGTCTACAGTGGGAGGTTGTCTTGGACCAAAGGCATCTGTCTGGGAGTGGCTGTAATTGGCTGCAGTGTGGCATTATCTCATTAATATGGAGCCCAGGGGAAGGAGACAGCCAACTTCCTCCCTCTGTGTTTGGTTGTTTGACTGGATCTCCATTGATGCTAAACGCAGTGCTCCCAGGGCACCCCATGCCTGTTGCCTGCTTCGTTAAAACTAAGAAAATGAATATTAATATCATACATACTGGAAGCGGCAGTAGCAGAAGGGGTCGTCAGTCTAAAGGCTGTTAGCGCCAATTTCTGGGTGTACTTAATAGGGTCTTTTTGTGAAGGTCCAATCCTGCAGAAAGACATGCTCTATCAATATGCAAATTGCTGTTTGCACCTTATTTCCATGTCCGCGGGGGACCGTGGCACACAGTGCCCTTAATCAAATCAGCGGACACATATGGGAGGAATGGCCAACTCTTAATCACTTGAAAATACCATATACCAAAACATGCTTATACTGTAGTTGATTTCACAGTAGCTATGAACACTGCAAGTTTTGAGAGTGTAAATAGATATTTATGGAATCCATTGTTACAGAGAGAAGTAAATTGACAAAACTTTTTGTGCATGAGCAACCTTGATCTTGGGAAGGCAGTAAATAGTGTCAGTTACCATCACACTCACATTTATGACAGCAACCACTGCCTGTTTTCAATTTACTTGACACCAGTAACACCAGCAAGCGGACGTGTCAATTCATCCATGGATATTAGTAAACAGCCACAGACAGCAACATTATACGCACACTCTCCAGCTGAGGAACTTGCTAGAAGGACTCAGATCAGATCAGAAGTCTGAGAATATCTCAAAACACTTTTGACTCTTATTAGAAAATATGGGGAGAAGAAGCACTGAACCTAGAAAAACATGTCCTTTCGACAAAGGAATCGTTGGACATTTTGGAAAATGTGCCTGTTTGCTTTTTTGAGTAACATAAGATACGGAGAGATATAGCACTGTTGTCTGTCCTTTAACTACAAAACCACAGTGGGGAGAATGTTTTATATTGTCTCTTTTAGATGTTTCCTTTCTTTTTGCAAGAACAATAATAAGGGTCTCAAATTGTAAAATTATTCCTTTAACATCCATTCATCCAGTGTGAATTTGTTTCACGCTGTGCAGACCCACTGCTTTTGCACTCTGAATCAAAACTACAGTCAACCTCTGAATGTTTAAGGGAGCAAATGTGAAATGCAGCGGTCAGGGTTTTCAGAAGCTGTGTGAACTTCAGAAGATAAATTACTTCAATGAAGCGTGAACATCATCTCTAACTAATCATTTAAGGAAGTCTCAAAAGTACTTTGCAATGTCTTTTTTTTCAAAAGATAATGATAACTGTCTGTACTGTGTATGGGTATAGTATTTGAACGTGTATATGGCCACAAAGTGGGTCAGAATGCTTTCTGAGAAAAAGACTAGAATCCTTTTGACAGTAGTAGAAAGAAGTAGAAGTTCAAAGTTAAATGTAGTATTGTTATATAATCAACTATCAACACCTCATTAAGGTTGAGTGAAGAGACTGCCCCAAACTACTAATGTGTCAGCCCCTTCAACAGACTGCTATCTGTTGCGGTGAGCCGATGAATTATTAATTATATAATACATAGAATTCTCACTAGGGAGCTATCCTGTATCCTCAGAACAGACAACCGTAAAGGGACGTTCAAGGTCAAAGAAAATAGGTTTCTTTGCCAACTATGTAAGGACAAAGACATTGGGAAATACCTTTAATTGGTTTAAAACTGCAATGTAGAAGACTCCCCAGTAGCCCTGCGGTCGTATCAGCTCTTTTCCATTTGAATTTCGGCAGCATTAATACAACTTCAATTAACCATCAGGGGTCCATCTTCCGGCTCACCTTCCTAATCTAGTTTGGTGGAAGCGGTTAGAGAATCAGCAGAGCCAATTTAAATAACTCCCACCTTAGTAGTGCAAGCTCAGATACTTGTAGTTATAGCAATGATACCCTTTCACTGTCAGACAAAGTGTGCAAGGCTGCATCATGTA